CCTCACCTCCCCGCAGGCCAAGGCCTGTCTGGGAAAATGGTGCGGCGGATCTCCGCGGTGCGCGCTGCCTGGAGACGACGCGGCGCTTGGTCCGCGGGCGCGCTCCGACGAATGAAGCAGCTCATGAGCACGTCGTTGGCGCGGCGTTCAGCGGGCTCGCACCCTCCTCGCTCGCGACGGCCCAGACCGACGCATTGGGCAGTGTGCTTGCGAAGTTCTCGCGCGCGATGGCGGGGGGGGGGGGGGGGGCATGTTGAGGAGGAGGGGGGGGGGGGGGGGGGCGGAGGGCAATCGTGTGCAAGACGAATGCTCAGGTCTTTCGCTGCTGGCGTTTGAGACGGACTGCCATGGCGCAGCGCGTTTGACGTCTCAGGCGGCGGCAGAGCTGGGCGAGGCACCTGAGAGAGCATGGGGTTGGAGTCGCAGCAGTATTGAGGACATCCATCCTCGGTGAGAAGAGGGGCAGACGGCTCAGGGACGAGAAGTGGGTGGACACAGATTCCTCACATTGGGCCCACCAATATTTGGAGGACCTGCAGGCGCTGGCGACGGTGGACGATGGTTCGCTGACAGAGTGCCCCCGAGCATTCCAAATGGTCCCAAATTGGCCGCCCGATCTTTCACAGCTACGGCAGACATTGTGACGCATTGACGAGGGGGGGCGAGGAGAGTCGGGGGGGCGGAGGAAGCCGTTCCAGCCCCACTGGTGCGACCATGCGATGATGGACGGCATTGGGTGCGTGACAGCTCGTGGCCAACGGCTTCATGCGCGGCGCAAGCTGGGCATCGCCGAGAGACGCGCGACGCGCGACCGCTTGTGGCGTCCATAGTCGTCGCGCGAAGTGGCCCGCGGTGTCGCAGTGCCTTTGCAGGCGGACGTGCGGCGGGTGACCATGAGCAGCGCTTTCTCGCGGCATCTGCCATCGGACTCGATCGAAATGGTCCCACGAGGTGCAGGAACCACGGACGTTGGAATGCAGCGTCTGTAACCATCAGGCTCACGCCATCTCGGACTACCACGAGCACGCCCGAGGGCACTTAGCGCGGCCTGGCCAGACCCGCGAGCCCAGAGGAGCAGCGGCGCACAGCCTCAGGACACGACGGGATGGCCGACCAGGGCTGGCGGGTGCTCGGAGCTTAGAGAGGCGCAGTTGGAGCCGGCGGCGCAGCGATCAGGGGCTCGGAGGCGGCCAGCTCGGGATAGGGGAAGGGGGGTCCAGGGCCCCCTCGGAGGCGGGTCCCCGGGCGGGGGTCGGCGGCGGCAGCCGCGCGGCAGCGGAGCAGAGGGGCGAGATGAAGGCCCTCCAGAAGTTAGCCCCCCAGAACGCTGCGGCCATCAGGGACTGGCACAACGACGTCGGCGACTTATGGCTGCTCGGCAAGGGCCGCAGGTTGGGCCCGCCGCGCGGGCGCGTGGCCGCCGGCGTCGTGGACGGCCTGGTCACGGCGATGCCGAGCGGCCCGGCGTTGCCCGACGATGAAACCAGTCCTCGCCACGCTCAGGGAGTTCATGGAGGCGCTGGACGGTCAGCGGGGGCTGAAGGTTATCACGAAGATCTTCGAGCAGCGCAAGGTGATGGCGACCTACCGCGACGACGAGGCGATGCAAGACATCGACCACAAAACCAAAGTTACGTTTGCGACCGCCACGAGCCCGCGCTTCAGAGCGGCCCTGTAATGGCGCGATCGATGAGGACAAGGTGACATGGCTGCATGGCTTCCAGACGACAATGTTCAAGCGATGGCGTACCAGGGCGGGGTCGAGAGCAGCTCAGGGGGCCCGAAGACGGGGCTCGAGCGGGCGATCGGGCGCCGGCTCAATCGGCGCCGCCGAAGGCTGCGCCCTCGGAGGCCACTGCGCCTCTCCCGTCAACGCGCGGCTCGCCAGAGCACGCGGCAGCTGCAGGCCCCGCGACATCTAGCAGAGCGCCGGCATTGCCCAGCTGGCCCCCTGCCCAGCCTCCGAACACTCGAGAGGAACATCTATCAATGGCGCTATGGCAGGACCGTTCATGATTCCAGGAATTACGAAACAGAGCGCGTATTCACTGAGGATCGAGTATCTATCTATTAGGAGGGAAAGAAACACACAGACGCACTCAATCGTCGAACGCCCAGACAATATTAGAAAATATGGGAAGTGGGGGGAAAGACAAAAACCCAAGACATATGGGAAAATATGGGGCGTATTCTTATTTGTGTATTTATTTGTGTGTCCTGGGGCCCCTTCATTGCAGCCGTGCGCTGCAGGTGTGAACGCGCAGGGGGACATTGCGAAGTGATGCAGTAACTACGGCGGGGGGGCACTGCGCAGCGTTCTCCCCCCAACAAAAAACATTGCGACGGGGGCCGCCGCCCCGCCCCCCCCCCCTCGCTCATCTGAAGCTACGAGACCAAACTAGGCGAGTTAGGTGCTGATCGGAGTCAGCCTCCCCGCAGCCCACCTCGCCTTCTCCGCGCGTCTGGGTTTAGACTGAAATATGTTTGAAGACCAACGCTGTTCGTGCAGTGGACTTGGGCCAGACGGCCACCGCGTTGCACGTTTCGCGCGTCGCGTTGATCGACAGCACATTCGCTTATTGGACAGCCGATAGACTACGTGCCGACCGGCAATACGACTGGTCATTGATGCACTCTGTGCCTGCGATCAAATTGCGGCGCGCTTCGGTGCGCCCCCATGCAGACCAGGTACCTTAGCAAGCTTGTTCTTACACTAATAACTACTGCGGGGCCACTGCGACGTGAGCCCGCAGGGGAACCGCCCGAGGCCGCAGGAATGCCACTACATCACGCCCCATAGGCTTTGGGCACGCTAGGAGCTAAGGAGAGCGAGCTGCGCACCAAGGAGCCCACCAGCACTAAGGAGAAACAGAGGACCAAGGGCACTGAGGTAACCGCACCCAACCGACCACCACTTAGGTTCCTTTCCGTAGCTATTTCGGCTTAGCCAGCAATCGCGAGAATCGCCGCAAGCTGCGCGACAGTGCCACCGACTGCTCCCGACTTGCGATGGCCGAGGGCACGATGTCGCCAGGCAGCCGGGTCGCTTGGAAGGCCAGCGCGGACGACGGAAACAGCGACGGCGTGAGCGCCCTGTTGCAACGTGCCCACCATCGCGGAAGACAGCCCGAGCAGGTGTTCGGCAGTGTCGAGTGCGGGCTGAGCGCGGCCCGCGCGAGCTTGCAGTCCACGGCGCACGCTTTCAACGCCAAACGGGAGATGACGTTCAAGATGATTGGCCAGCTCCAGCTACCACACCATTACCAGCTTGGGGCGCATCTCATGCGAACACAGCCTCAACCTTTATTAAAATGGAGATGGAGCACGCCCAGTGCGTTGAGATCCCCAAGTAACAGCTGAAAAAAGGGCGACGAGGCACGCGAGGCAGTGTGGACTCTCCGCGCGAGCTGCATGGGCAGCTCGCGCCACGTCCTCGGCCCGTTTCCGCGGGGGCTTGACTACAGTCGCCGCGAGAACGACGAGCTCGAAGGCATCTACGCGCAGTGGTCGCAAGGGCCGCAAGGATATGGCTGCGACGAAGTCGTGGTGGCACCGAAACCAGCTAACCAAGCAGCAAGCTTGGCCAACTACCGCCCCATGGGCGCGTTGCACCTCTCCGTCTCCGTCGGCGCAAGGCTGGACAACGCGCTGCAAGACGGGCAGCCTTGGCAGCCTACTTCGCTGCCATGTGGCCGCTTCCATATCACCAGGCCGCAAGCATTGTCTGTGTTGTCTTCTCGTCTCAGAAGAGGGTCGTGGGGACGGGCAAGGGCAGCAAGTACCAAGCCGCCCTTCTTGTTGTTGCCTCCTGGTTTGTTTTGAGAGCCGTGGTGGCGTGGGGGGGGGGGGGGGGGGGCGAGTGGGGGGGAGGTCCTCAGCGTCGGCGGCCCGCCCCCGAGAGACGCGAGGGCAGCCCCCGCTTCCTGCTCCAGTGCATCTTCACTCGCGACAGGGCTTCCTGCGACGGGGCAGCCCTCCTCCTCCTCCTCCTCCTCCTCCTCCTCCTCCTCCTCCTCCCTTCTTCCCCGCCGCCTCCTTCTTCTCCTCCTCCTCCTCCTCCTCCTCCTCCTCCTCCTCCTCAGCGCTCTCGTGCAGCTGCCGAGAGGCCCCGCCCCGGGCAGTCCATCGGGCCGGCGCAGATCGGCATCAGGAACAGCTCCCATATCAATCTTAAGGGTCGAGTGTGCGTGAGGGCCCACAGACGGCAGGACCCCCGACGGCATTATCTTTAACGCTATCGTTATCCTCCTCCTCCTCCTCCTCTTCCTCCTCCTCCTCCTCCTTTTCCTCCTCCTTTCCGCCCTCCTCCTCCTCATCCTCCTCTTCCTCCTCCTCCTCCTTTTCCTCCTCCTTTCCCCCCCTCATCCTCCTCTACCTCCTCCTCCTCCTCCTCCTCCTCCTCCTCCTCCTCCTCCTCCTCCTCCTCCTCCTCCTCCTCCTCCTCCCCCCTTGCGCGTTTGGTCCTCCCACCCTTCCCTTTCAGCTCCCCGGAGGGGGGGCACAGTCGCAAAACGGCGGGGTGCGGGCAGAGCTGACAGCGAAACGCGGTACGGATGCCAGCCACCCCCCCT